GGCCGAGTCCACTTTATCCGGAATCTGTCAGTCACAAACCTTAATTGCAACAAAACGCTACCTTGAATACGCATAACCTCGACCACCACGTTTTGGCAACGACAGAACAGGTCATATACATAGTTGTGAACGATGTGACAAATACCGACAGATGTTTTCACCCACCTATACACACACACGAATAAATAAACACACAACACAAGATATGCAAAATTTTCCAGTTCGTATGGAAAACATTTGGACCTGTACTGTTTGTTAGCCTTTACACTGACGTTTGATCGAAAATGATAAAAATGAGATTTGTTGTTGTGGTCCTGAATAATGGGCGAAAAATGCATTGTAACTCAAGTATGGTCTTCGAGGTGTTTGAATTAGCATTAGGATTGTAAAGCGTACTTCGTTAAAGCTTAAGAACGAAAAAAAATCACACAACATTTTGTTATATCTGTACCAGATGTAATTATGCACCCATGAATGACTGACAGTTTGGTGATGGTATAAGCGTTCGCCATATCTGCCTCAAAACTCCACCTCAAGTCTGCAAATGTAAGCTGCTGTACAATGCGAGACTCACGGGTTATCCACTTTTGGATATTTTTCATTATGTCAAGACTAAAGAATATGCAAACACAGACGAAAATATGATGCTACATGGTGATTCCAATCGAGTACAAAGCAAATAAAGCTTGAGTTGAAGAGCTAGAAAGCACTGAAGAACTTTTTCTATCTGAACGAGCCTCTTCCGCTAACAGGTGGGTGGGGTGTTTCTAACCGAATCCTGACTCTAGAGGTGAGGGCTAAAATGCGCGAGGTGGGATGCCTGCAATAAGTTCACCAATATGGCTAAATCGGGTGAAGACGAAATTAAAAACGAACTTTCTAATTAGCTGCCCGGTGGCCGATTGTGAAGCGTGCAAGGGGAATCTTTCTTGAGCACGATCTGAATAACAATTATTGCGATTCAAACGAGCGAGCCACGACTTACCGATCGTCACATTCACAAAGAGACAAGGTGACCGGAGAAGTGTTGTAATGTCCGTACTTTCTAGCCAAACTGGGGATGTTCTCGGAACAACTGTCATGTTCGAAACAGCACATGTCCACCTCGATCTCATCGCCAAACATCTGTTCCCGTGTGGCCGCATTACCTTGACAATTGAAATCAAGAGGACCGATGAAAATTCATGCAGTAGGTAACCAGTCAGCAATGCCATCACTGACATCAATCAAGGTGAAGAGCACGGCAACCGAAATATATTGTACGGAAGATTGGTAAAATAAAGCGGTACAGATCACTTTAAAACAAAACGTGAACCATTGTCCGAGCCAGTTTTTTCCACCCTTGCTTTATGGCATCAAGTAACTGGAGTCCTCTTATCAATTCTGTTCATAGTACAATACATTCCTGGCGGAATACATGAGTGCAGGGTTTAAGGTCGTGTGTGTTCCCGTTGCCATTCGTCTCCCCCTCACTGAGTTTGCGAATTCTGAAACAATAAAACAGCTGGTCAACTGATATGAGTCCTAATCCGTGCCGCGATAGCGCGAACGACAAATGGGGGCATGTTATTGAACTCAAGCTCATCTTAGGGTCATTAGAACGAAGTATTTTTATTAAAAAGGTGCAGTGGTTTTGTCAATATTGCTAAGTATGATGTTGGTGCTGAAAGTGCTTCGGTTGACAGTAACAATATTATTAATCATAGTAATAATAATATCATTGATAAAAATAAAGATCTAGAATTTTTCGTAATTTCACAATAATCTCATCGGAGCCTGATATTTCCAATTGTCTATTATATGCACTTTCTGTTTGCATATTTATAGCCTAGCACTTGGTTGACTCTTACCTCTAGTCGTGAAGAATCGAAGCTTTGTTATCCACATTATTCTTACTGTTTGTCGCACCCTAGTGACTGGACATTTCGGCTCCAGTGTGCCGAAAGCTTCTCGCGTCTGAAGAGTGTTTACTTTATATCTAAACACACATACATAGACACACACACATTCTTAACTATTTGAAACTGCAATTTTGTATTCATTAAGGGAGTCCGTAATGGTGGTGTGGTGTCCCACAGTTGTGCACTACATACCTGCTTTACACACGTTTTATCTCACCCGTCGCTCAAACTTTTATCACCTGTTGTTGGGTTTGATATTAGATAAAAGTTCCAAAAAGTGACCCGTGAATCCCGAACACGGAATTGCGACTTCTTAGCTTAGGGCGGTGTTGAACCTACCAGAGTACAGAGCACAGTACAACGCTTTCCCTGATATCATGTACTATTCATGCAGCACCACATTACCAATAGTGGATACACACTAATCAAAGCAAACCTGGATGCAATTTTGGGGGACATGTGCTGGCTGTTCAAAACTTGTACAAAGTGGCTTACTGCCCTCACGATCTATTAACTACACGCGCGAGAATAAACCTTATTGTTCATATTAACCGTGACCTCCACAAACCCAGTTGACACCCACCTTTTCCGTAAAAGGCGTACCCGTGGTTCTTACTTTATCAAAGCATACAATTGAGTTTCAATTGCACCCTATATATTTTTTTCCATGAATCTAGCTTTGATGCGAGGCGCAGATAAATTTACGAGAAAAACGTAAACTGCCATCTATTGTGACTACTTTTCAGTGATCGCAACTCACAGAACAAAATATCAACAGCCGAGCACAGTCAAAAGGGTTGCTATACTCAGAGTGTAGGGATGGACCTGGGTCGATGTCACTGGAGAACCATGATTTTCTACGAATACTAATGGGATTTAAATCAGCAACAGATTGTTGATCGTTTGTGAGCTGCCTTTCGTGATGACACGCCTTCAATAAACACTGTGAGGGGTTTGAGGAGTTCAACCGTGGCAGGCGGTCCCTGGATGATGAGACATGGTGTGGTCAACCTGTGAAGGCCACCGCAGCGGGTAACATTGTTACGGTGGAGGAAGATACCCGGGTGACAGTGGCACAGCTGACGAAAGCCATCGGGATCAATCAGCACATGAGAAGCTCTCCCTCAGAAAGGTTTGCGCACATTGGGCAACCCATCAGGTCCGTGAGGAACAGAAAACAGTTCGGGTGAATTGGTGCCTCACCAATTTTGACAGTGGACATTCCAACGCAGTTTGGAATATCATCAGTGGTGATGAGATATAGGTGTACACTTTCATCCAGAGACCAAGCAACAACCGGCTCAGTGGACAGCGGTTGGTGGAGCGCCGTCTCAGCAAGTCTGACACGAGAGCAGTGTGCAAAAGTAGATGATGGTTGTGTTCATGGCCAAGAACGGTCATGTGGCTATTGTACCGCTCGTACAGCAAAGCACAGTCACCGGAGACTGGTACGCCACCCACTGCCTTCCAAAAGTCCTGGAAGCTTTTGGCAAGCTCCGTTCAAGGACTCGAACACAAGAGAACTTGCTGTACCACAACAACTCACCTGCACACAGGTCCTATGTTATCAGTGATTGTCTGGCTGGAGGACGCATCCAGGAGGTCAGTCACCCACCCTACAGTCCAGAACTGGCTTCCTGTGACTGGTTGTGTTTCCATGTATCAAGTGTATAATGCGTAGAATATGATAAAGTCACCAGCAGCTGCAATGAACGCCCTCGTTAAACTGGTCGAAAAGTTATACTCTTCGGCATGGTCCAATTGTTGCACTAAATGGTTTTACCGCATGGAACTGTGCATGAACCCTGGTGAAGAACACTTCGAGAGAATGCAGTGCTTATTTTTGTGTAACAAATAAAACCTTTTATGCATTCGGAAACCTTTTCGCTCAGCCCTCCGATGTTCCGGAGAAAACGTTTCTCTAACCAATCGTTATTTTTCCATCTTNTCTAACCAATCGTTATTTTTCCATCTTCCATGCAGTGTTTCGTACTGGTCTCTTCGGGACCCTAACGAAACTCGCTACAACCCCCAATCTCCGTGTTCAAGTCTGAAATTCCTGGCCTTTAGGCACATACCCGACCAATTTCAAACACTTTGAGAGCATACTATAGACAAAAAGCATCAGACCAAGCCTAAGGACAAAACAACTGCCCAGTGTTCTCTGTCAGTCATTGTGAAACTTTTATCATAAATGAGACAGATTGAACTAGCCGAAAATTGACGAATTGCAAGAATTGTTGATCCCCGAACGATTAGAACAAAAATGTGAATTCGTAAGACCGGGAACCCAATAACAACGCATTTAAGTTGTAATTGTCCGAACTTACAGCATAGCATAGTTTGACGTCAAAATGTGCATTCATGTGGGAGTGACGTCACAAGACTGATCACATAGCTACAGCTTGTCAAATGCTATCGTCTCGCTGATCTCATTAGGTCATACCGACTGGTTGCAATTTGCCACTATGGAGAAAACAATAATCAGTGAACGCACCAATAGAATTATACAATTACGTGCTAAGTGTCTTTCACTATACACGGCACGCCCTCAAACATGACGTGCATTGATTTCGGTTTCGCCCTATCAGGTGATCTCATTGTTTTGAAATGTTCGGAATTCAACAATCACCTCGGGACATCGTATGGATGATTGACAACCATCCTAACTGAAGTACAGTCCGGATGACCAAAATGTGCCAGGTCACCTCCAACAGCCGTCCCCGTCCGCTTTGCATCATATGTCACGGTAGAGGGTGAGGGGCGGTAACCTTGAGCATATGTGACACGTGACACAATGATTGATGTAGCAACACAGCTTGCCTGTCAGACAGCCGAAATAATGGGGCTCTGTTTCCCGGTCGAAACCAACAACAGGGAAATAAAATTAACAATTGCTGATATGCATACTTAAGTCAGTGAGTTCAACCATTTTCAGGTAGACTAATCAGTAATAAACAATATTTTTTAAAGTGCACTCAATACGCCATCTCGGTTTGTCATCCAACACTGAAAAGCGCTGAAAGCGCTGTACAAATGTTTTATTCCAGACAGGTATGATTCGTGGACAGGTCTTCGAACCCCGGACACGAGTGTTTTACCTACTAAAGCAGATCCCCATTGAGGGCCGCAGAGACACGAAAATTTCCCTTCGAAAATGAAACAGATCGCCCGAACCATTTTAGTTGATGAACATGATCGTCGGCCGAGTCGTTCTCTTCCCAGATTTCCGGATCTTTGACTCATAATGACATGAAATGTATCTGAATGCTGTGAAAGCTGTACCAAAATACGCGCCACTATTTTGATGTATCAAATGGAAGAATTCTGATAGAAATGCAAACACCAAACCAGCTTTAAGCACATGATGTTTGAACCAGAACGATGTTAACTATTTTTTCAACCAATTGGTGAAAAGTATGACTTCGCTATTTTATACGCACATTCGAAGTGAGAAAGAGGAGTGCAAATTCCTACTGGTACATCCTATGAAAACTTTGACTTTTCTGTCTATTAGAGAGTTTATATTAGATCAAATGGGTCTTGGATTCTCTGGCCGGCAATGGTTACCATAGATGATGGATTGCTCGCGAAAGTGATTACTTAAACCTACGGGGGAGGGTGAGACAGCAATATCTGGAAGGAATTTACCACCCAACAATTAAAGTTATCGTAGTTAACAATAGTTAATAGTCAAGTGGTTTAGGTTGCAGCTACAGGCCTGTTGCGAACTAAAGATTCAAACCCAAGTGCCTTTACCCATGCTTGGTCTGACAGTTTGGCTTCATACAGCTCAATTTCGTACATATTCTTCCAATTCGAACCTTGTGTGTTTAGATAATTCAGCTTCCCGGTACGGCGTGCCACCTACCCCAAATGATCACAAAGTTCCTGTAGTTGCGAGTTCTAATTAATTTGCTGTTCATCAAACAAAGGATGTGTAGTGTATATATACACATATGTACGTTTAAAAAGCACGAAAAACGTTTGTTCTCAATCCTGCGCCTTTTCTATTTAGAAAGTTAACCGGTGATAGACCACTTCAGGGAACGTTTTTCTGTGAGCAAATAACAGTGGTAGTTAGACACAACTCTGAGAAAAGCAGTTCGAATGTTTCATGGATCTAGGCAAATTAACTGATACATCAATCTGATGGTAGAACGGAATCCGGAAACCGCCAGTACGCTACGTAAGTCCCCAAAGGGCAGTTGATGAGATTGGTGAAATTCGGACCCACTCCAAATTTACCACGCCTAGGCGTTTGCTAGTTAATCTTCTCAGTTTTAGGTAGATGGTCATCATAGTAACTCAAATACTTTATTTTTCTTATAAATATTGTATATTTTTGCTATTTTAACTCTATCAGCTACGCTGTAACAATGAGTTTTGACATTAGTTATCCTTCGATTATCATCGGTGTAACACAGTGGCCAACGATTTTTTCTAAAAATAACTATAAAACACTTAATTAAAGGTGTGCTTTGGAGTGATGACGACAGATAAAGACCACCGGATAAATGTTTAAAGCTTATTGGGAATCAAACCTAAACCATGGAGTCAGGAATCGAAGCTCTCATGCTCGACTACACTTTCATCTCACGTTCATCATTCCCAAAGACTGATCACTAAGCCCTACTTGGTGAGCAATCCAATCCACTCGTGGTGGACCCTGATTCCAGTCCAAACCAGCAAGGCTGATCTAACCCCTTACCTCTCCAAAATGAAACAAAAACTATTTTCCTTTTTGAAAGCTAGGAATGCTGTGGTAATGGAATAGCGTTAGGGAGAAATACAGTCTGATTATCGGTTCCGGGAGATGAATCACTGTTCCTAGAAACTCTCTTATCCGTGATTTAGCCAACGCACAAATACACGACTAGAAAAATAAGAATGGAATCGTGAGTACGTGTGATTCGACACCACAACTACCGGCAATCGTATCTGCACAAAACGGAAATTCTGATTTGTGCCCTCTGAAAGATAATTACTATTGTGCCGTATATTCAGTGGTCACACTGTACATACTCTGTAATTTGTTCTGCTTGGTATCCAAGTTAACGCAATTTTAATGTCAAGTCATTTTTATGCCCACCACAAGCTGTCGAAACTAGGCCTCTGTAAGTCACCAAAGGATGAGGATGAATGTTACGGGGGACGGGGACGGGGCGTTGAGGGGAATTGCAGTTTTAAAACCCATGTGGTTATGCAAGCATTCTAGGCAATGTGTTCTCTCAGTAATCAGTGTTGAATCATTGTGTTCAATAACCAAGGGGGGGGTATAGTGGGATTTCATTGGACCAACTATTATCCGCCGCTTAACGGTGACGCCAACAATCAGTTGCGTGGGCCAAAAAACCGAAAAATTACCGGTGCTCAGTTTCCAAGCAAACATCAGCCTTATTATATAAGAAACTGGAAGTGCTAGTATTTAGGTTGCATAGTCTTTATTCAGCCTCTAATATTTTCATGAATTTCACTGCCAATGAATACCTTAGATTAGATAGAGATATCCATTTTGCACAAGAGTAGAAGTGAATAACTCTCAAACACTCACCTCTCCCGCACCACCTGGTCCCGGGCATAATAAACGGATTGCTGCGTTTCTGTCGCCTTGATCGTCCCGTACGCTTTTCCCCTGTGAGTTCTCGACATTTATCATGAAGTTCTTGTGTCGTTTGAAGTTGAAAATCGCGTAGATTTGTTATCGATCGACTACAATGTAACGGAAATCACATTCAAGATTGGATTTTATATTGACATGATACATTGACATAATACCGACAGTATAAATTCCCCCAGTCAGGGCTGTCGACTGATTTGAGGTGTTTGATGATGACTAATCAGTTTGTGATACCCATGCAACAGAGATGATCTTAATAGCACCCCATTGCCCAGCTTCTTCGGTTTGACAGACAGCTTTTAATTCACGATAAATTGACTCATTCCGTTTCAGACTTGATGGCTGGGCCCTGTCGACTATTCGTAACATATATAAGACAAGTACACAGTTTTTCTAGGGCTTGGTATGATAATATTGCACTAATATAGCACGACGAATAACTTATCAAATGTCACCATTCAAAAAATTAATTTCCCCTTTTAGATTGTTGTTTTCCATTGTTGGACAAAGTTAGAGAACCACCTTTCCCCTGCGACTGACTTCAGAGGTTGATCTCCTTCTTCAGGCGAAATTCATCAGAATGAACATAATCAAGGATTTTAATCACACCTTCACAAAGTCATTTCTTCACTGGAACTTACTCGGAAATAAAATGAACTGCTACTGTGTGTTTGACACCTGCTTTGAGATGGAACCGTGCTTTTGCAATTCGAGAACAAGATCAATTATCTGCAACTGATAAGGCCTTTGCTCCTCTTCCCCCACCCCGCTTTGGGTCACTGTTGCTCTCAGTTCGTCTATGCAACATCGCCCGCTCTTCCGGGGGTGTTTCCTGAGGTTTGTTCTGGTGCTTCTTAGATGCACTGTGCCGCTCTAAATTACTTCTTTTGATTTCTTTATTGCTTCATACGGCACTTTGCTTTATATCCTATTTATGATCTTGTTTCAATATGATACTATTATCTGAGGCGTGGACGACCAAAAAGCGGAAATAAAACTCAGAGACAATTTGGGACCACATAACGCTTGTTTAATGAACATATAAAATTTTACTTTTCATTGTTTTACTGATAGTAATTTTACATACCGTACTGACTTTTGATCGAGTGAATCACATGCAGTTGCCGGTTGTCCATTATCGATCGACTGAAATTGACACTTGTACAAATTACGGTCATGATCGAACCACAATCGAACATTTTGTTGTCCTCTTGATTGTCGATCAATAAGATCCATTTGTACACAACTGTCATTGACCGGTGGCTGCTGATTTGTGATGGTCAGGCGGCGGGGCTGGTGCATCCATGTTGACAAAATGTTCCCGTCGGCCAGCTCGAAGTTGAACTGTGTGTGTCGAGTGGATTTAACCTCATGACGCCACTGCAATAAGAAAGACATGGAATAATTTATTCTTCCTATTAGTTTAGCATAATCTTTCTCAGATGTGTAAATTGCTAATTTTTTTATATTGATAATGCATTCCAGTTTTGCTAAAATCACTGTTGCGCAGTTTTCAATCTAACGTACATGTATGTTGTCGAACAGCTATAGAAAACAGAATCAACAAATGAATCCCATTCAACTTAATATACCCTCGCTAACAAGATGGTATATTCACCAAGTTTTCCATCAATGATCACCACATCTCCGTATGCTCATCATCAACATTATCATAACTATAGCTCATTCTCACATGGCGCTGCCACAAGTAACTTACACTCGATGCCTGTTCTGATACAAGCAGTATTAGGAAAAATGTCCACACATACATCATGGGAGTCCAAACCGAAACAACTACGTTGGTGACTACTCTGGCGTGATTTGCACCGGGGCAGCAACGCATTTTATACGCTTGTCGGACAACGGCGACCTGGACAAGCGTCTGTGTGCGCGTGTGTGAACCAATCCGCGGACGGTATGAACTGTGAATGACCTTGAACGACCAGGAATAGATCACGCCACACTAAGACGAGTTTAAACGTGAAGGCATAAACAATGGACAAATAATTAAACTGATTTTCACGTTGATATTCTTTACTCCACAACTTTTATCTCTCGTCCCATTCCAGTTGATTTGTTTGCAACAGATGGCAGAGAACAATCACGCGATAAAAAAGTTAGCGGTTTTTTTCAGAATAATGCTTATAACTGGTGGAGAACTTAAGTCGTGTGAAAGCAAGCCATCAACTTGTTTACTTCTAGAAAATTGTTCAGTGGTGATCCTTTTGTAGGTATCTGTGGGTGTGAAACAACTATTCAATCGGTACATATACATTGTTTTCACTGGCATCGTTGCAATGAACCAACCCTCTCAAAAGGACATGACATTGAGTGTTCGGAACTTTTCTCAACGGTAGTTAATTTTCTGAAATGAAGAACAAGTAAGTTTTGTGATGAACACATGTGGCAGGATTGGTCAAGCTTTACTGGTCACCATCGCCTAACTCTGGAGGTTGGGCTTTCTACACGCCCGCACACACCCCAAACGCCACCTTCTCCCTTTTCTCTGCACTCGATGACAGCTCTGTGATTGATAGCTGCTANCATCAAGCTTCAGCCAAAACCCGAAATGCTTTAGCCACGATCCGTAGTTCTTTAGCCTCGACGCATAAACTTTAGTCATGCCGCAGTAGATGAGTCAGATCAAAAAATATCGGAATATTCTGAGGTCAACGGATGTTGAAAAAATTTATTTCCTACAAATTTTGATGTTGCAGAGCTTGGTTCAGAAACAAGGTGTGGAGGTCGCACCACATGTTGACTAAAGAAGGTATAACCGATGAGCCTGTATCGTCAAACCATTTGACATATCTCGTATAGCTTCTTTGTTTTCGTATAACATGCGACAATCCTGTGAGTAAAATTCGCAAGTGTAACACAAACGGTACATTGTTTTGCATTCACAAGTACTGAAATAAATCAAAAGGTGATACATATAAGGTGATATAAACAAAACCTGTAATTATTGAGCTTCGATCGTGGTAATTATGTCAAATCTTGCAGCGGTAATAAATTGATGATAATTATGGGTTTGTACTTTTGTGAACGATGTTCATTATCCTTGGCTTGTTTAGGTGTCTACTTTTATGAACAGAGTTCACTGGCGAATGCAAAACAATGTACCATTTGGGTTATACTTGGGAATTTTACTCACAGGATGGTATCGAATATTATACGAAAACACGAGATGTCAAATATTTTGACGATACGGGCACATCTCCTAAACCTTCTCCTGAGAAGTTGTTGTGTTGTTTAATGTTCATAAGAATGATTAATATGTTTCCAGTTTAGTCTAACCCGCAGGTTGTTGATGATACAGGTACACGAGGATGTCAATTTCCATAATCAGTTCAACTTCACAGTTAGATTATAGCTGTTCACTTGAGTAACTGGAAGCCGGGTGACTTGACCGAGGCAGAAATATCAGTCAGTCACTATAGGATGGCTGTCAGATTATCGATCGGTACTTGGCCATTTGACTACCAATTGTAATTAAGAAAGTACTTCTCTGAGTAAGCAAGGTGGAAAGCTTTTTAGTAAATCCATTAGTTGGTCAGCTCTTTAGTTAACCAGTTAGTTGGTTGGTCAATCAGTCAGTTAGTTTGGTAACCCATACTATCTTAAAAATGGAAGTGAATAGATTCATAGTCGAAAGAAGTTTAACTCAACCGAGAAATATATAGAACGCTTTCACTAAATTTGTACTTCAAATAATTATTTGTTAATAAACTAAAGGGAAAGATGAACTGGACTGTGTTTATCAAACAAACACTACGTAAGTTCGTAATCGAATCAGTCAGCTGACATTGGAAGGAAGAAGGTGATCCTTGTAGAACACACGTCGAATATGGTGAATTCAGTCATTGCACTGACCGAGATAGTAGGTGCATCGCTTGCTTTTTGTTCATCTTAACATTAGAACCAGAACCTTTTGTTCATTTCCATTTTTACCTCCTTTATTGAATACATAATGATACAATTTTCAGGAATGGGGAAGTGACCAATCAAAGGGCTGTCGTACAACACACAATTGGGGAAGTCAGGCAGTGGTGGTACGTACATCCTCCGGGGTGATAATTTTGCTACTTTGCCACCGGGCCACCACCACCCGGAGAAAGGGCTAGTGTTTCACCCAGCCGAGCAGATCAATTGATCGCCGAAATGAATCACAACCCACAGAAGCATTGTGGGATAGAATGCATCCAGAGGAATAAATTTTTGGATGGACCATGGGTGAAACACAACTTAGTGGACCTCTTTTTCTCATTCATACACACAATGCGATAATGTGTGTTAGATGTTGACATGTATGTCCTCGTCAGAAAGCTTTAAATAGCCCAACAGTCGCCTGACTATTTCAAAATTTATTTTTACTCTATCATATTCAAAGTGGCAAGCTGTGCTTTCTTTATCAAGCCCAATAAGAACGCCCGAGATTCTGGCTTTGCCAGTTGTTATCATTGAAAACATGATTCACTTCAATTTGGGATTCGTACAATAAGATGGTCTGATATCTGCTTGCTAGCCAATGTCGGGACCGATCGGATATCACATGCCATCATTCATGTCCAGGTGGACACCTGAATTAAGGTAACCCGTTTGATGAATCTTAGGAAAAGTAGGAGGAAATCTGAAAAAATTATGCTCAGGGAAATTAAAAAGGTAACGAAATGCAATAATAAAGATGTTACTCAGTTTTTATTAGTGATTGGAATCTTCCCGGATACCCCTTATAGCTCCGGTGCTGAAAAACAGTGCTTTCGAGATTATTGTCAATAAATGCGCTTCATCCTGAGCAACTGGTTCCGATGAAAATATTCATTGTTTTCAGCAAAAAAAATCGGGAGACAGGACGATCAGCTCAGAGGTGCGAATAATTCGGCAACCGGTCAGTATGGGACCGTGAGTGCGAACGATACCATAGGACAAATGGTTGGATGTTTCGAATAATCTTTTCTAAACGTCTTTCACTATTATTCAATTCTCCGCCGTAGTCAACAATTTCCAGCAGTAATTATTTTCGAAGTGAACACTATTTTTACAAAGTCATCATTATTTGAATATTTCCTATCAATCTGCATGTCAACCGTTAGCATTCACCAAGGGTGAGAAGTTGCATAAAAACTACCGCGAATAGTCAGACCACTCTGGGTAGGTGCCACTATCGCATCTGCGGGATTAGTATGACTCACTTTGCCACGTGGTCCACCAACCTTGACAATATTTGAATCTGTGGGAGTGCCGACTACGCACGTCAGAATCGCGTGACCGGAATGACCTTGGAACTAATACGGTCACGTCATGAACGCAAAATCACGTGGTGCATTTGTCCGAAAGCGAATAAGGTCGAGAACCGGTATGTGGCTGAATGAAGTTCGGTGCCTGAACAATCATCACATCACCTACGCCATTTGAAGGTTGATTTGAGAAACCATCGCCTTGAATTGGGAAGGAAACACTGTGGTAGGATCCGCTTCCGACCAGCGCACATCATTGGTCAATTGATCACACGTTTTTTCTATTCCCCGATTGACAGGTAACTGCATCTAGATTAGAGCACCGTTAAAAGTAGGCGAACTGGTCAGAGTCATTAGGATCAACAGAAGAGCAAAGAACCTCAATAATAGTTCGCTCAAAAGTCTTAAATATTACCGACGATCAAGCAATAATCAGAGGCTTCCACTTTTCTTCTTTAGGTATTTAAGTGACCCAAACATCGCTCCATGTATCAGCCCGTCTACCTGGCTGATTGTAATTGTCTTTGTGAACAAATCTAATAGAAAACGTACTGATGTTTATCTCCGTCCAATTATGTCACATTTCTTCCAGGGATTACCGCAGCTTATTCTTGGAGTCCCCATAATGGGCATTACTTACTTACCTACGCTCAGTGTACTCACCAACCTCGACCTTGTGAAAAAAATCCGCTGCAATGTTATGTCATTCGCCCATGTTCTTTACGCAGCATTACTTTTTCCTCTCAAACGGATCGACTGCTTTCCGTTTCGTTCAGTTTTACGGGCTGCGTCATAATGGGAGAGCTGCAGTTAAGCCATAGTTGGTTGTGGCTGCCAGGTCAGAGACGAAAAGCAGCCCAGCCACCAAAGTGCACTTCAATAACACCAAACGATGCCGCTGAACAAATGTTGCCATTCGAATATACCCGTGCTCCACGGAGTGAAAAATGCATAGCTCGGAGTAACCCGCAAGTACAAAACTCGATACCGGGCATAGTTACTGTGGTAAACTTTTGATGATTGAGCTATCGTCAAGGCCCGATCCACTACGACCAGGTGTGCTTTAGCTGTACCGCGCACGAGTCAGTGCGCCATCCTTCGTGCTTATCGAGTGAGGTCTAACTTAGCTGTCTCGCGCAAATCGCACGGCTTCAACGACGCACCGAATCGACGTTCGTCAACGAACTCGACAAGAAGCAAGACTGAGGTCTACCTCCGTGAAACACAGAAAGAGCTTGATAAGGCAGGTTGTCAGTCGGTAGGTAGAAAGAACGTGTGATCGATTGACCAATCAGGTGCGCTGAAGGGAGCGGAAGTAATTCTCTATATGAAATATGTGGTGTACCACTGAGTCTGGAGTGAATTTGGGGGGCCCAAAATCAGAATTAAATCCCTATCTTTTGAGCCAGGGAAAATTGGGTATCAGTACAACCACTGAGACAAAAGGCAAGCAATAATAGTCGAGGACTTCAAATTCCCCAAAGGAAAAGATAGTTTACGAGCTTCTACATAGATATAAATGACGTGAGGGAACCACGAAAGACTGTGAACACGGTTGAGAAGAGGTATCGTGCAGGTGAATGTGAACAGACACAGACCCACTACGCGGGTAGGAGAATGCATCAGAGCAGGTCCCTAACGATAGACATAAGCATTTCTAGAGATCTATTGCCATTTACGGTGTCACTTACACCTTTTATATCGCTGATGTTTACTAGCCATTGAATCTAATCTAAATGAATTCAACCGCGACAAAATTTGGCCAACATAACTTGGCATTTCTGGTTGGTTATGTTGTGTATGGGCTGATAAGATAGTTGCACACAGGTGTTCCATACGAAGGGTTCACATGTGCAAATCCCGGATTGGCCCCGTGGAGCATTGTGGTGATCCAAAGCTGCGACATATTATCAGCCAGGAAGCTATCCATCACAGTTTTCCGACATCTGACATGAAACGAGCGTTCACGGCCAAAGAGACGAACTGTTGTGAAAACAAGCAGATAGTGTCATCATCAATGTGAAAACTGACTGGATGGTTGTTGTTTATTTATATCGGATACACATTAACGATTCCATTTGATGTTTCTCATGTCACTAACTGCCATCCCTGAGAAGTTCTTCCTGCTTCGCGTTGTTTTAAATTCTAAAAGCTGAAT